CTCGCTCTCTCTCTCTCTCTCTCTCTCTCGCTCTCTCTCTCGCTCTCTCTCTCATCACTCTGTCTTCCCCTCGTACATTCTTTTTTACTTTATCATAACTTCTTTTTTTTTTTTCTTTTATAAATAACAACATTTAAATCAACGGCGCGAAGCATAATAGTGTTATAATAATATATCATGTCACATACAATATATGTAATATATGTATATAATGATATATCATTACTTCGATAGTCCTTCTTAAAATTCGTATATTTATATATTTATATTTATATTTATATTTATATTTTTATATATATATATATATATTTATTTATATTTATATTCATTTATTTATATATTTATATTTTCGGTGTGTTATGTATACATATATACCTTCCTGTTAATTCGTTCCTCTTATACGTTTAACGACTAACGACGGGCAGTTCGTGTTACGTTGATTTGTTAATTAAAAGGCTAAGGATGAAAATATTCTCGCTAATTATAAGATTTCTTTTCTCTTTTATATCCATTTTTCTATCTTCTTTTATACCTCTCTTTCTCTCTCTCTCTCTTTCCCCTCCTTCCTTCTCCCTCCCTATCCCTTTCTCTCACTCTTTCTCACGTATTTCTGGTTCTATTTTTTTCTCTTCTCCTTTTCGTCTTCTTTGTCTGTGTGTGTGTTTTTTTTTTTCTTTTTTTATTTTTAACTTAAAACGGCCATTGACAGAACGACACGGCAAGCTCTACATTTATAAAGGGATGGACGTCGTGTCGTTCTTTAATGCTAAATCGAAACTTAATTCTACGTAATTCTCTCTCTCTCTCTCTCTCTCTTTCTCTCTCTTTTTTACTCTCTTGCTCTCGTTCATTCTCTCTCTCTTTCTCTCTCTCTCTCTCTCTCTCTCTCTCTCTCTTGCTCTCTCGCTCTCGCTCTCTCTCTTTATTATCTCATACTTTTAGTTTTGTTATTAACTATATACTCCTATGTACAGGATCCGCAGATGAAACGAGAATAAATCTTATCCTCCTTATATCGTTTTCTTATGTTTATTTCTTTTTATTTTCTTCTTTTTACGTATTTTCTTTTTTTTTTTCCCCCCGTTCCTTTTCTTTTTTTTCTTTTTTTGCTCACTCAAGCCTACATTCGAAGAATTTATCCTATTTTACGTGCGATTTCTTTTTATTTATTTACTTTTGTCATCTTTCTTTTTCTTTTCTTTTTTTTTTCTCGTTTGTTCGCTTGCGACATTTTTTTTTTCTTTTTTATTTCATCTCTTACGTTATCACGTACTCTCCCTTATCTAGTACAAATTACGATTATTAGCCTGACGAAAATCGTAGAAAGTATATTATGTAATAAAATACGAATGTGAGCCTGAGTGATGTGTCCTTTTTTTGTTTTCCCTTTTTTTTTCGTTTATCTTCTGACTTTTTTCCTTTTCGATTCTCTCTCTCTCTCTCTCTCTCTCTCTCTCTCTCTCTCTCTCTCTCGCTTTACACATACATACTTTCTATGCGAATGATAATTATTACTGTTATAGTTACTATCATTATTATTATTATTATTATTATTATTATTATTATTATTATTATTATTATTACTATTATTATTACTATTATTATTATTACTATTATTATTATTACTATTATTATTATTATTATTATTATTATTATTATTATTAGTATTATCATTATTATTACTATTAGTATTAATTCTATTATTACTATTATTCATTATATTATAATAGATCACGACAGAACGATCGAAGATCGAGAGCCGTGATATTTTGTCGCTTGATTGGCGCACTCGACGATGCATTTTTTTAAATAAAATTTTTCATAATCTATAATATCGAGAAAGGGGGAAAGAAACGAAAACGAAAGTAACGTGACAAGCGTGAAGATTGTGAAGATCCAAAAAAAAAAAAAAGAAAAATTTATATTTATCTTTTGTGGTTCTTGGATTGTTTCTTTTCTTTCCTTTTTCTTTTTTTTTTTTCTCTCTTTCTGTTCAGGTGCACAATAATTCACACGAGTTGTCGTTAATACAACCAGTACCATTCTTTAATCCTTCCTTTAATGCTTCGAGCTATGCCGTAGCATCAACTCCTTTACGCGGAATACCTTGACTCCTCTATCTCTCTCCCTCTCTCTCTCTCTCTCTCTCTCTCTCTCTCTCTCTCTCTCTCTCTTTCTCTCTCTCTCTCTCTCTCTCTCTCTCTATCTTGAACCTGTTGCTTTAAACAAGATGTACCTTGAATAATGGATATTCCTAAGTAGTTCCAAGTCAGCTTAATCCGGCGCTCGTTTACCTCGCTCGCGAAAGAGCTACGTTTCTGTCTGCACTGCGCGTTCGCGGTTTAATTCCCTCTCCTCGACTAATTAACATACGCATTAATTAACCTCCACCCACCGCCTCTCCTTTAGCAGATCAGCTAACTCGAATTCAAACGGATCGTAACATTATTTTATCAATCGTTGATGGAAAACATCAATCGATAAGATTTATCAATGTATTTCCCTTCCTTTAAAATTATTATTTGAGTAAAATCATTTTTCGTGATTAATTAATAAAGTATTATAAATAAATGTTTAAGGGATAATTATTCAGTAATATATTTTCTTTTTTTTCCTTTTTTTTCTTTTTTTTTTCTTTTTTTTTTTTCTTCTTTCTTTTTTTCACATCGTTCGTACCGTTGGAAGTTAAAGTTAGAAGAAAGTGCAAATTATCTGTTTATTGACTTTTACGAATCATAATACATAATCTGTACGTCTTTCAAGCGATCATCCTTTCGATCATTTAAACATATATATATACATATATATATATATATATATGTATATATATATATATGTATTACTATTTACGATAATAAGAAGGCCATTTACACGAAGGTAATCAACGAAATTCAAAAAATTATTGAAATGTCAAAAAAGGTAAAAGCAAAAAAAAAAGACGATGATGTTACTCGCGATAATTCTGAACGAATTACGGAGATGAAATTGACGAGAAAGATGTAGGAGGAAAGGGAAAAGGGGGAGAAAAAGAGATCGAGGGAGAGAGAGAGAGAGAGAGAGAGGAAGGTGAAAGAAGGAGAGGGAAAAAAAGGTGGAACAAAAAGGAACAATATTAACAAAAATATGCTGTCGTGGGTAACTTGAAATACTCGTAGTATCGCTAAAGCAGAGATATGCAACTAAATTTTCATTTTTCCGCTCGAGTGAACTCGCGCCCGCGTCCGCTCCTGCTGCTTCTGGCTTCTGCTTCTGCTTCTGGTTCCGTTCCTGCTCCTGCCCGTTTGCCCGTTTGCCCGTTTGCCCGTTTGCCCCCTTTTTATCCATTTCGTCCGTTCGTCCGTCCGTTCGTCCATACGCGCACGCGCGCGCGCGCGCTCTCGCGAGCGCAACACGACGTGACTTTAATTACGTTCGTCGAGGAGTCACGGATAACACGTGCTGCATCCCCGTGCCAAGATAAATCTTTATGTAATGCACGTATTTTTCTCCTCTTCCTCGTTTTTGCTGGTGAAGGTGCCGGTGGTGGCAGATTTCCTGCGTGAAAACGGGCAACCGGGACGACGGGCGTTAAATAATGCGACAAAACGTGCAACGAAAGTACCTCGAGGGACGAGTTCTATGTTCTCTCGCTCTCTCTCTCTCTCTCTCTCTCTCTCTCTCTTCCTCTCTCTCTCTTTCTCTCTCACTCTTTCTCTCTCACTCTCTCTCTCTGACTCTATCTAGGCGTATGTATATGTGTGTGCATGTATTTGTATTTTGCGTGAACACAAACACACAACGAGTTTTGTTTTACATGGTTAAAGCACTCTTACGGAAACTACCCTTGGGAGAAGGGAACAAAGGGCTAACGGAAGTGACACTTTTGAAACATAATCGGTAGGTGTTTTCAAATGAAGATTAGTTTACCCGCTGCTCGATTTTCTAATGGCTTAATACTTATTTCTGTTGTTCCTTTTTCTTTTTATTTCTTTTTTCTTTTTTTCTTTTTTCTCTCTCTCTCTTTTTTTTTTTCCTTCTTTTTTCCTTTTTTCTTTCCCTTTTTATATTCTTTTCCTTTTATAATTCACCGTAAGCATTTTATTTCATTTTAATCGTTAATATTAATTTATAATCACAAATTTTAATATTTATTATTAGTTTTCCAAGTTTGATCCGACGATCAAATTAGTGTTTTACTCTTTTGTAGATACATAAATTATTGAATTTCAAAGGGTTCATCGTTAATATCATAATGGTCTGTGTTTACGATAAAATGACATGACGCTTGACGTGTGTATTTTCTAATTCAAATAAATCTGCGAATAAACGAATAACGAACGACGAGGAAAAAGGGAAATGAAAATCGTCGAATTGAAAGGATCTCGTTCGAGATGTAGAAGAAATGATTTCAATGGTAAGGGTGAGATTTGGATAGCCCCTTTGGATAAGTAAAAGGGATGTCTGAACGTCAGCTCTTTAAAGATAGTCTTCGATCGAAGATTCGTGCAAATAATAATATTCTGCTCTTTAATATTCATTCGTTATCGTCTATCTCTCTCTCTCTCTCTCTCGTTCTCTCTCTCTCTCTCTCTCTCTCTCTCTCTCTCTGTCTCACTCTCTCACTCTTACTCTTTCTTTTGCATGTTGTACTTTTCTCCTTCTACATTTTTTTTTTTTCTTATCTCCGTTAAACTCTTCGCGTGAGAATATCGGACGTACGAAATCTGACGTTTTAATCTCAAGTATCCAGATGGGTTCTGCGATTTCGTATATGAAAAAATAACGAGTAAATCAAGAGAGAGAGAGAGAGAGAGAGGGAGAGAGAGAGAGAGAGAGAGAGAGAGAAAGAGGAAGAGAGAAAGAGAGAGAGAAAGAGAGAAAGAGATAGAGTCGTTTCTAATAAAGTACTTGAAAGAAAATCGATGCCAAAAATAATTTTTATATTTAATAATAATAATAATAATAATAATAATAATAATAATAATAATAATAATAATAATAATAAGAGCAATAACGACGTCAACAACGACAATAATAAGAGAGAAAATAATTTCATCCTTGAAGTCTAACGAACGAATAGTTCGATGTTTGCTTTCGATATATTGCAAATGAAGAAACGATAAATTGTTGAAAAATCTTTCTAATATAGTGACATGATGCAATAGAATATGGAAATATAAAAAAAAAAAAAAAAAAAAAAGGAGAATCAATTCGCATACGTAAACGACCTTCTCTCTTCGCTGTGCCGATCTGTAGGGGAGGGTTCTGTTGGCGCGGCATGAATATTTCTTTTTTGTTTTTTTCTTTTTTTTTTTTTTTTCTTTTTTTTTTTCTTTTTTTCTTTTTTTTTTTTTTTTCTTTCATTTACTGATATATTACGGCGTTATACAATATTTTACATTGAAAGCGATAGTCGTTGCACTTTGTGATTTGCCATTAATCGTTCGTCTCGTTTCGTTCGTTCCTTGTTTTTGTTTTGTTTGTGTTTTTCTTTTTTTGTTTTGTTTTTTTGTTGTTGTTGTTGTTATTGTTTTTTTTTTTTTTTTTTCTTTTTTTTTTTTCTTTTAATTTCTCATCTTCCTTTCGTCGCACTTATCTCGTTTGCACTTATTTCTCGACACGCATAATCAAATTTCATAATAAATTTCACACCTACGTCCTTTCGTCTCGTTACATATTGATTTTTCTTTTTCATCATCTTCTTCTTCTTCTTCTTCTTCTTCTTCTACTTCTGTATTTTTTTTTCTCTTTTCTTTTCTTTTCTTTTTTTATACGACACTAACTACTCGGTCAGTCTTTATGCCTTTTTCGTGTACAATCATGTCTGTGTATTTCTATGTGTATGTGTATTTGGGTCTCTAATCTCGCGTGTACGTGTTTTTCTTTTTTCTTTCTTTTTTTTTTTTGTTGTATTTTTTTTTTTTTTTGTTTTTCTTGTTAACTCTTTATTTTATTTTATTTCCTTTGTATTAACGTAGTCCATAATTACAGAATAAGCGGACGTCGGAGGTCCCTTTTGCAGTTTCGAACTTATCGAATAATCGTCGTCATGATTAGGCTCAGTGTTATCGCCGCACCTGTCGTACCGACGCAAACTGCGGCATCTAAAAATGATAAAGAAAATAAATATGATTAGAGGAAATATCTTTATTGCAAGTCTAGTCGTATAATTATTACTTATAACATATAGATAAAATAATCTAAAAACTTTTTATCGTTATAATAAATAATTACGTTAATTTTTATGCGAAAGTCTAATCTTTATATATTAATAACGATTATTAAATAAACGTTGAAATTAATATTAATGTAATTAGATTAAACGATAACATTATACGTTCGTTTATTTTCCAAACAACTTGAATTTATTTTCTTCGATTAAAGGAAGAGTAAATAAAAACAATGTGGTAGTGGTGGTTGGGGGGGTTGGAGGGTTGAAAAAAGGGAAAAAGAAAGAGACAGACATAGAGAGAGAGAGAGAGAGAGACAGAGGGAGAGGGAGAGAAGAAAACCTTTTCGTCGAAGAAAATGTCGAAGCCAATTGAAAAGACTCGAGAGGTTGTGCGAAGACATGCTTTTCCCTCTTATTTTGATGCAACCATCTCACCCCCCCCCCCTCCACCCGTATCCATCCCTAAGCTATCGTCATACTCAGATTCCTTTTTAGAAGAGTCAGGAGGAAGGTTAAAATAAGAAGAAGAAGGATAGAAAAGATGCGAAAGTCGAGCCGGAAGTCGGTTATTCTTCCGCTTCGTTCAAATCCCTCTTTCTCGCTCTTTCTTTCTCTTTCTTTCTTGTACATTCAGCTATTACTCGCTTCGAAAAAAACGTATTTCCAGGGAGGTTACTTCTTGCTTTCGCTCATCTTTTCACTCATCTCTAATTAGCAATGAGAAACAAGGCAGTCGGCGCGAGCGCTTCCCGTCTCAGACGAATTAATCCTATCTTCCATTTTCTCGTTTTTCTCAACGAAAGGAAGAGGAGGAGGAGGAGGAGAAGGAGGAGAGAGAGATAGAGAGAGAGAGAGAGAGAGAGAGAGAGAGAGAGAGAAAGAGAAAATTGCTCGCCTATGCTATTTCCGTCTCATCTTCTTTTTCTTTTTCTTTTTCTTCTTCTTCTTCTTCTTCTTCTTCTCCTTTTTTCTTTCATTCTCCTTTTTTTTTTTTTTCTTCCCTTTTATATTCTTTCATCGTATTTTCTACTTAGGTACGTCGTTCCTTTTTACGTTTCACATTTTTTTTTACTTGTAGATAAATTTTTCTTTTCCCGTCTCAAATTGATCTTCCAATATGTATAGGCTAATGTAGTTCGTTCTTTATTTTTCTTTTTTTCTTTTTTTTTTTTTTTTTTTTTTTTTCTTATTTTTATCCTTGGAATGAAAATCTTCGTTCGATATTTTAATAGGGGGGTGGGCGGGGGGTGGGGGTCACTCTTGTTAAATAGATTTTATTGCCATTTAAAAGGAATTGAGATCATAAGAAACACTTATATATATATCTTCAGTTATTAATCTAATTTCTATGTTTTATAAGTATATATATATATATATATATATATATATATATATATATGTATAAAAGATATCTATGTATGTATGTATGTAAGTATGTGTATTATCGTCGAAACGAGGCTAATTGGCGATTTGTAGAAAATGAAAGGGAGATTCAATACGATCAAGCTTATTTTCTCGGTCGGTATACATCTACTTGAAATAAATGGGAAATATCGATGTTTGGAAATAACATAATTATCTCGAACTATTTTGTCCCATATTGAAACATATTTTCTCGATGGGAAAAGATATTAACGATAATAGAATATAATATCGTTTGATAAGAATTCTTTAAATATATTAATATAAAATGGAAAAGAAGATAAGATATTATAAAAATGAATCGATTAGATTAATTAAAGATTATAATTTAAATGTTCATAAGATCTATGGAAAATATATGAATTGTATCGATTAATTGTAAACAAGACGATTTTCAGTTGATAAAAGAAAATTCTTGTAAAATGTTTATATTTTTGTCTATGGTCTAAAGTAAACATTTTCTTGTTTTTCTTTTTCTTTTTCTTTTTTTTTGTTTTTTTTTGTTCTTTTTTTTTTTTGAATACGCAAAATAGAAAGAATTATGCTATAACTCTTTGTTAACGTTTGCACTTCGACATAGGACAATTCATAAAATAGAAAAGCTATCGGAAAGCGATATTTTTTGAAAGTTATTGAATGTTTCCACATTTCGCGAATAGCGATCGTGTACGTGAAGGCATAGAAAAGCTTTTTAATGAGATTCGACGTTCGACGTGTCCCGAAAACGAGTAATAAAATTTATATTCGCGACCTTTTTAGGCATATCCATCGTATATTTGATAAAAATTTCCTAAAAATATGACATTGCGTTGACTACTTCGTACGTACGTACGTACATAGAAAATTGATAGATTAGAAAATTAAACGTAACTATTTATCGTCAATTTTAATCGAACGTATATAAATTCAATCAACATTGAAATAACATTTTCGATGGTGTCTAAAAATGATAGGATATAAGTAAAGGAAATCAAAACATAACGAAAGACAAAACGAAAGGAAAAAAAGAAAAAAAGAAAGAAAGAAAGAAAGGAAGATGAAGAAGGGAAGAAAAAAAGAAAAAGAGCAACTCATCATAACGAATCCGAGCGTCAAGTTGTAAAAGCTTGGGAGGCAAGTTTCAACGTCGCCCTTGTACATTTTTACCCTCTTCATTTTCGATTCTCTCTTTTTCTACACGAAATTACCTACTCTCCGAGGGCGATCGTGATCGTAGTCATCGTAATATAAAAAGTATGTATATGTGTATATATATATATATGTGTGTGTATATGTGTGTATGAGAGAGAGAGAGAGAGAGAGAGAGAGGACGGATTTTCACACTTTGCCATTATGCAAATTCCTTTTAAAAGAAACCACGGGAGTGCGACGATATCGATGCCGAGCTCGGAGGTTGGGGTGGAAGGAGAGGGAAAGAGGAAAGAGAGAAGAGAAGAGAAGAGAGAGAGAGAGAGAGAGAGAGCTGACTGGTGAAAAAGGGTACGAAAAAAAATGTAAGCGAGGAACGAAATATCCGATAACGCCCGGAGGCCTCGTGAAGGAATTTCTGAAGGACCACCGGCCGAGTCAGACGTAGAAAATTCACTGAGCCGAGATGGTGGATTCCCTGTCGTTTTAAATGCCAGGAGAATGATCGGATAAAACCACAAAATTCGCCTTGCGAAACCAACGGCATTTGTTTCCTTTCCCTTCGGTTAGTCTTCTCTCTTCTACCTCTCTCTCTCTCTCTCTCTCTTTTTCTCATTGCATTTTTCCTTTCTCATCTCTTTCTCACTCGTAGCTTTCATTCAACGAAGGATTTCCATTGAACGTCGACTATAGTAAGGGTTTGGGGTAGGTGGCGGAGTGGGGATGGGGGGGGGGTGGTGTGCCAATGATCGAACTTTACCCCTTAACGATCCTTACCCGCTCGTTACTTTGTCCCGATATCCGTTACATTCTGTCAGGCCACTTCTAATTGGCCGAATAAGATGCAACGTGAGAGAGGACGATAAGCCAAAAATCAATAGATTTTATTGGCTTTTCTTTGGAATGAAAGGACTTAGAATTCGTAGAATGGATTAAAGGCCGATTAGATTGGTTAGTTAAAAGGGATAGTTTTTGACTTTTTCAAGAAGACGTGCTCGTGTTACCTCTCTCTCTCTCTCTCTCTCTCTCTCTGTGTATGTGTGTGTATGTGTGTGTGTGTGACGACTATGATCTCGATGAAATTTGCCAGGAATAGGTTTACAAAGTAAATCGAATTATTTTCATATTATTAATTATTTTTTTTTTCTTCTTCCTTTTCTTCTTACTCTTCTACCATCTCTTCTATTATAAGTTTATTTCTTTGATTTTCTTTCTAGATAATTACGAGACTTACCGTTGTCGTCAGGAGGCCAATTGTAATTCCTTTTCCTGTCCAAGTCGCTCGACTTTTGTTCCGACTTTCCGATCTCGTTTAAGTTCGACTGAAACTTGTTTCCTGAAACGTAAAAAAGAAAAATTATTAACGAATACGATAAGTATTATATTAGAAACTTTATTGCCAATTAAATCAATTATTATTCGCTGACAGGTATATCCATAGAAATATTATATATATATATATATATATATATATATATATATATATATATATATATTAGGTTGGAAACAATGAAACGGGCGTTTTTGTTTAGTTATTTATTTTCATTCAACGCCCGTTTCATAGTTTCCAATCTAATATATAAGTATATTAGGGGGACCGGAAAGTAATGTCGTTTCTGCGCGTGTCGATATTTGATTGTGATTGAAAATAAAAACTTGTTAAAAATTTATTCGTTTGAATTTAATTTAAAAAAGCGACATTATACTTTCCGATTCACCTAATATATGTATATAATATTTCTATTTATCTTTTACATCCACACATCGTTTCTTATATTTTTTTCGACGGTCGAAATTTTTTTTCGAAAAAATACACGTTATAGATCAAATTAGAAAAGAAAAAAAGAAAAAAGAAAAAAGAAAGAAGAAAGAAAAAAAGTAAAAGCAAAAAGAAAAAGAAGAAAAAAAGAAAAAAAAAAGAAAAGATAAAAAATTATTTTTCTCCAGAAACAAAAAAGGTTTGTTAAATAAAATTCGAAGATAGGTTCGACGTACAAGACCTTGACCGAAATTGTTTGTTTGCTTACATTTTAATGCGGTATGTCTGGTAAACGCGATAACTAGTATGCTAACTAAAGGCAAACACAATACAGGTGAGCGTACACGATGTACCTTGTTGTCATATCAGCTACCTATGTAGATGGCGGACCTTGCAGTTATCATATTGCACAATAATGAGATCCCAGCGTGTATATGTTACGTGTATACGAGCAAACAACGCGTTTAACTACACCATACACATATTAATATATACACATATACACATGTGAATGTATATAGATGTGAATGTATATCAATGGTGAAAGAGATTAGAAATTTTGATTTTGTATAGGAAAATTCATTAATTGTATTCAAATCGTAAGAATTTTTTCATTATTATTTATATTTATACGTAGGCGATAATATAATGTAAAAAATAAATTTTATCATGCGTTTGTTTATAATGCATTCATTATCCAGAAGCATCTTGTGAATTATTATTATTATTATTATTCAAGCTTGTTGGCGAATTTTTTGTTTTTATTTTGTCTTTATTATTCCTAGACACGTGTTAATGTTATGAATTTAATGAGTTGCGCATCATTTCATTCATTATAGGGTATCTCAAATTATTTCGAAATTTAGGTAATTGCGCGTGTAATTGTTATTTCATTTTTTAATCTTTTTTTCTGGTTTCGTTTTTCTCTCTCTTTTTTTTCTTTCTTTCTTTCTTTCTTTCTTTTTCTTTTATTTTTTTTTTTTTTTTTTTTTTTTTTTCTTTAGGAATATCAGGTTTCTCCATAGAAGTCGACTAGAGTATTATCAAGTTTCATAGAATAATTAATATTCTAATATACATATGTACGTAACGTGGAATACAAACTTATAATTAATTATTAGTACGTACGTTATTAGTATGATAATAATATAAAAAAGAAAAAAAAAAAAGAAAAAATAGAAATAATATGAACGAACGATTTGTTCTCAATTAAAATCACTAAGAGACGATTAAGATTAATTTAAATGTCGCCATGTCGTACGATTAGATAATTAACACTTACGTTAATTACAATGAAACAATAAGTTGAATTTTTGCGATTATATATATATTATCATTTGTAATGATTATAAATTTGACTTATATTGAAAATAATACAAGTTTTCGAGTTAAATTTTACGAAAAACGTTTGTCGCGTTGTTGTTTCGCGTTTCCTCAATGGGTTAGATCATTTTTTTTTTCTTTCTTGGAAAATAGAAAAAAGAAAAAAGGCTAAAAGGGACAATGATGAGAAGAGCAAAGCGAAGCTTTGAGAGAACAAAGAGACCCTCGAGTGAAGATGCTCCGAGCGGTGTTACGCCTAAAGTGGGCGGTAAACGTGTCAACTGGTATGCAAACGACGAGTAAACACAATTCCCTTATCCCCGGGCGCTACGGAGTCGTTGTTTTCACGTTGCTCTTGCTCGACGTCGTGACATGTTTGTCGCTGCAGAGTCCAGCCAACTCGAATCGAGTAACAGCTGATAACGAGCTTCATTTAACACCATCGCTTCATAATTCTACGCTTTGTATTCTCTAATGCATAATATTTTACAAACGTTCAATTCCCTCCCTCCCCCTCCCACCCCCAGGCTCGTAATTAATTAATTAATTAATTAATTAAAAAAAAAAAAAAAAAAAAGAAAAGAAAAAAAAAGGGAAAAGGCTTGAGAGAAAATTGGATTATCGTGAACGCAAGCGTAACGAAATATTCAATCAATATATTGTATATGAAAAATACGAATAAGATTATTGCAACGCGCTTGTTTACTGTATAATAATATTTATTTTCTTTTTTTTTTCTTCTTCTTTATCTCTCATTATTATTACGGCATGAAGGCAAAAGGAAGGAAAGAAAGAAAGAAAAAAAAGAAAAACAAGAAAAATAATAAATAATACGAAAGGGAATAATTTTTTATCACTTTTATCTTTCGATTTCTACTAATTATTTCATCGACGTGAAGTTTTGTTTTCGTATAAAAGATTATATACATGTATATATATATATATATATATATATATATATATATATATATATAATATAATATAATATAAAGGAAAAGAACAACTGGTCAATTACGAGAGAGATGTATAATTTAAATTTTGCAGACAGAAATTTATGAAACAAAGTACGATAAAACATATTATGCTAATATTGATCAACAAATATGAAGTAAAACTATCATGAGAAAGAAAGAGAGAGAGAGAGAGAGAGAGAAAGAGAGAAATGATATTATAAAAGGGAATAACATTTTAATATCAGAGTTTCGATTATGAAAATGTTGAATTATTCACGAATAAATGAACTATTGTATATGAAATTATAGGATATAGGGAGTCGATATTGTTAAATAAATAATTTAATAGGATGTTGTGTTAAAATATGAAAGAATAATTAGATTTGAATTTGTTAATTTTAACATCATAAGTTCCGGTTGATCGTTAGAAGGGAGAACGAATTGCCAGGAGGGTTCCTGATGATCGGGTGGAATGAAAGGGTTAAGCATTGCCCTGGGAACACGATCTTAGGACAATAGCCTATTTCGGACGAGGTAATGGACGATCTCGCGTAGAGACTGCCACGAGCGTTATGTAACAGTTACCTACGGTGCGATAGTAGAGCCCTAGTATAGAGGATAGGAAGGGTATCCCTACGTCGACAAAGGGGATACACACCTATGAACAAGGAACCAAGAGAACGGTCAAACCTGACAGACGTATGCAAATCTCGGTCAAACATTGGCACTTGCGATGACGATGACGATGACACGTTCCAAGGCCTTACTATATTATATATATATATATATATATATATATATATATATATATATATATACATATCATGTTTCCTTCCTAATTTGTATGCTCATCTAACTGGTACTATCTATGAATGACAATGTCCTATGAATTTGTGATTAGATATTAAATATTGAATTTCTGAATCGTACATTTTTCATCTCGTCTATGATTTATTCTATATATTTTTTTCGTTCTTCGTATCAAAATTCTTCATCGACATGTATTACTTTATTCTTTAAACGTGGAAAATTTCTTTCATTTTTTTTTTTTTTTTCCATACAAAATTCACTCACTTTCCTTTAAGGAAGTCTCAAGTGACGTTAGAATAATGAAACAAATAATTGAAAAAAAAAAGAAAAGAAAGAAAAAAAAACAAAGGGGGGGAGGGGGAAAAGAAAAAAATCACGACGAAAACAACTAACTCGGTTTACTTTTATACAATTGATAATGTTTTTCGAACTATAAGTACTTCAGATAAGTAAAAAATGAACTATAAGTACTTTACATATTTAAAAAAGATAGATATTGAAAAAGATTGAGAAAAGATAGATATTAAAAAAGATTTAGAAAAGTAGCATATAACTTTGAAAGGTTGTACGATAATAAGAAAATAAATGAGAAATAATGAAAGAGATTTTCTCACCACTTCCTCCCACCTCCCCACCAAAAAAAAAAAAAAGGAAAAAGAGAAATGATATAAACAGAATGGAAATCGAATAAGAGGAAACATCGGAGATCGATGTAACACATTCATGGTTCCGTGTGTAAGTACGTCCATAGTTCTCCATCTAGCCACGCATGCATATTTATGTCTCTCTCTCTCTCTCTCTCTCTCTCTCTGTCTTTGTCTCTCTCTCTCTCTCTCTCTCTCCCTCTCTGTGTGTGATGTTGGCCGCGTTGTTCGCACAGCTATGTGCTACGTCGAGCTGCGAACGCATTCTGAAGGTGCACGTGTATACGGACCTATAATAGCCTATTGCCGTGGCTAGTTTAACCACCTTGGTGAGCTGCCGTGTTTCGGCAGTTTCTAGCCTTCAACTCATCCCCCTTTCAACCCCCCATCTGTAACGTATAATACCTCGCAAGTAGAAGGGGGTGGTTGGTACGCGTACACGCACAGCCTCACGATACGAGTCGTGTTAACTATGTGCTGGTACGTTGGCTAAGCCAATCTCATTCTGTCTGTCTCTCTCTCTCTCTCTCTCTGTCTCTCTCTGTCTCTCTCTGTCTCTCTCTCTCTCTCTCTCTCTCTGTCTCTCTCTCTCTCTCTCTCTTACACTCGCTCGGTTGATTCTCCTCCTACCGCTTCGAATTGCAGGTTGCCAATAATTCACGTTGCTATCCCGAAGGCGTGTTCCACACTCCCACCACTGGCTGCTTACAGACCGTCGCGATACTTGATTTTATGTCCGGCCGTCCGAAACCGACGATTGAGACTAATGAGCGGTGTTCTTGATATCGCAATCAACGTCTCTCGCCAAAT